CTGCTTCGCCAGAATCTGGCAACACTGGCAGTGTCTCCAGATCTGTTTGGTATATAAGTAACAAGATTACCCAATCACATACGCGGATTACCAGATTTACCTCACAGGTAAAATTTAGTGGAACAACCGGACCTGAGAGTAAGAGTATAGCGGGGAGCACAGACTCTTGCATAACGCATAACACGTAATGCATAAAAAAATGTGCCAATCGAAGTCCTTTATTTCCTTCCTTTCTATGAAATAAAGGACTCTGATTGGTTTAATTTCTTATGCCTCATGTGTTATGCGTTATGCAAGAATCTGTGCTCCCCGCTTATATCCACATAAACTTGCATAGCTACATAAACGTATGCATAAAGAAAGTTATCCAATCACATTTTACGTGCGACTTTATAAGAGAAATGCGATTGGATAATTTTCATTATGCATACATTTATGCGACTATGCAAGTTTGTGTGGATATAGCCTAAGAAACTAATAATATGGTACTAAAATTTCATGATTTATTAGTTCCGTAGACATAAACATATATGTTTAGAACTTAATAATACTCTATTTTTATTTAAAATTGTGTTTTTAATGTTATTATCCAAGTTTGATTATCAATAAAGATATGATAACTGCAGAGAAAAAAATTTTTCAGCAATATATAAAATATTATAGCATTAAAAGTATGCATACTTATTTATATAGCATTTATATAATAAAAAATCACGGATTTAATAATGTATTATCAAAATATTTATGTTAATATCATAAATTATGCCCCTTAAGGTTTCGTCCGGAGCTCTTTGTCGGCTCTTGTAGCTTTAGATTTTTCTAAAGCTTTCGATACAGTTAATTATGAGCTATTGGCTGCCAAGTTGCATCATTATGGCCTATGTGACTCCTCTTCATCACTGTTACGTTCCTTCCTCTCTAATCGTTCTCAGGAAGTTCTCGTTTATAATCCTTCTCCTAGTTTTTCCCTAATATCAAAGGTCTCCTCCGATGTATCTCAAAGTTCCATTCTTGGTCCTTTACTATTTAATCTGTTCATTGCTGATTTACCTTCCATAGTTATTTCCTCTAGACCTTACATGTATGCTGACGATGTACTGCTCTTTATATCTTTCAAATCCTCTGAAGCTCTCTCTGTTGCACGCTCACTAAATGATGACTTTCGACAAATCGTTGATATGAATGGTCGACATTGAATGGACCGCATTTAAATCCCGCCAAATCTTCACTTTTAATTGCTGGTTCTCCTACTTTACTTTCTCACCTTCCTGCTTTCGATATCTCTATTCAAAATATTCCATTGATCTCCGCACGACTATCAAAATTCTAGGCTTGCACATTGACTCATCATGGTCATTTGAACACTACATGTTGTTGCTAAATGCAGGCTTGCATATTCTCGTCTTAGACTATTATATCCTTTTCGTCACATTATGTCGATCTCTCAAAAACTACAAGTTATACAATTTCTAGTAATATCTCTGTTTGATTATGCCGATACTGTATATATTCCTTGTCTAGAACAACATCATCTTCATAGAATACAATTAATCAAAAATTCCTGTCTTTGTGTTTTTCCTATGGTGTTAGAAAGTACGATTATATTACTCCTTGTTTTCAGCGCTCTGGTTGGCTGAATATTTTCCAACGTTTCACAGCTCATTTATGTTGCTTGATTTGTAATGTTCTTCGCACCAATACACCTAGATATCTTCGTGAGCTAATCTGTTTTAACGTTGACTCTCATTCAGGTGCTCTGCCTAGTTCTCGTAGACTCGAGCGGATCGGACGTGTTCCCTCTCGTCTCGGGTGTTGCGTCACCTCGACTATATTTTTGAAAAGCGTTGCCGGCTTGGACTGTGCCATAGTATTTCAGTTTCGATAGTCCCTTTATCCGTCTTGGCGCGCGGCCGTGCGGCGTGGAAGCGCCGTAGCCGCAGGCATCCAGTGTTTGAAGGGGCACCTCACCATTTTTATTGCATCATCCATTACTCGCCCGGTTCGAGGTGGCCGGTGCATAGCACTCCCACTTACGATTACCCCAATTTACGCAGAACTCAATGGCCCAGTACCAGCCTGTCTAGGCTGCGGTGGCCAAAAAAACAGAAGAAGAAGAAGAAGGTGCTCTGCTTGATACTTGTCAGCAATACCAACTTTCATGTCCTACTCATCACAAATCTAAATTTCAGAGGGCCTTCTCCTAAGGTGCGTTCCGTATCGCACATGATGTGCATGATTGATGCATCCATTGTCCTTGTTTAACATTTGGTGAGCAACAAGGATAAACGATGCATTATGCGCATCATGCGAGAAACGGAACGCACCCCTACACTGCAGTGAAATTTTATAATAATATATCATCTGCTTTTTACGCTTTCTACCGTGGCTTCCTGTATTTTATTCTGAAATTACTGATATATTAATTGCGATAGATCAACTCTTCTGTACAATTCTTCTTGTTGTTCTCTACAAGTAGTGTATGTAATGTTAAAACATTTCTTTCTACTTTAATATTCTTACAGTAATGTGCGTATTTATGTAATTGTAATATTAATTGTTTTTATTAATTGTTATAACGTTTCTTTCTACTACAATGTTCTTACAATAATTTGCGTATTTATGTAATTGTAATATTAATTGTTTTGAATTTAATTTTTATAATTCACTTATTCTAATATACAGATACGGCTTCAAATCAGCTGCTCAGCTATCACCCAGCCCTATTGTAGTGCAACTGATATATGTGTACCACATAATACTGTATTTTATCTAATGTATGTGTTAACGGTGCACTCAATAAAGTTAATAATAATAATAATAATAATAATAATAATGGAAATATTAAAATTTCCTTATGAGTCTCCAAATAATAAAAATATTTTATTTATTCAAGATTAATAATTCTAAATAAAATTTAATATAAAGAAAATTATTACAACTTTTCGTTTTAATTCTCCTAATATATATAAATAAATTAATTTTTTTCTAATAAAAAAATGTTCTAAAGCATTTGTCGTGAAACGGTTTCCAAAAATGTAGTAAAATCTTCCGGTTCCAGATGCAAAAGACGACAGGATATATTCCACAATTTTTCGGCATATTGATGATTATTTGCCTTTCGATATGTAGTAGTAACTCCACAATTTCTATATATAAAAAAAGATGAGAAAGAAAGATGATAAAACAAAATATCATTACATTTATATTTTGTATAAAAATTATTTGTATAATAAGTATATGTTTTCTCTTACGAATAATAAAATCCGGTCTCAGTGGCTGTCTTTTCATCCACTGAACAATATATTGTCGTTTGTGCTCCTGTTTCAGCATTGTTAAATATTAAATGCGTGAATATAAAAAGTAGACAAGAAGGTACATTTGAAAATATTGCATCACCGACATTCCAAAATAATTTTGTTCTTGTTCCACCAGGATTTAAGGAATAAACGTTTATTCCATGAATATTTGCCTCTGAAAATTGTATAAATTTTTTATACTTTGTATAACATATACCTGATATACCTTATGTATAACTTCATATAATACGCATGTCCAAAATCAGGATTTAAAATATTAAGACTATACTATGTCTAAATAATAATATAATGGCAGATTCATAGGGTCTCAGTAAAATATATGGCTCTTATAATTTTAAGACAATGTCTTATAACCTACTATGTCTTTTGTCTTTAATAATGTACATAATAACTGTTTTGTTTTACTTAAGTTTTAAAAGTGTATACATATATGTACGTGGTGTCACACCTCATATATATATCTGTAAGACTTGAGTCACAAGACAATTTAAATAGTTTAGTTTATACCGTATATGTTTAGGCCGCTGCCTGTACGTTAGATGTTCTTGTACTTGTAATAATCCTTGTAATCCTTTTATAACTTATAAGTTGAACAAGGACACCTATCGTATATATAGCGGTATAGTACGGTGTCAAAGGCACTATTGTGCGTCATTAGTAAAGACAAAAGGTTTAGGTATAATAAAATATTTCTCGAGATTATAAGTCAGCCATTCTGCTAAGGCCCATAGTCGCGATTTTTATATTTAAGACCGTCTTAAAGGTTGGCAGGGAAATTTAAGACTACATATTAGGGGAACTTATATATATAGGTCGGAGACAAATTTCTTTATACTGAAATTATGGCTAAAATACTACATAAATATACAGTGACCGGCAAAAATAAAAAACCTTATTTATAAAACTAGTTTGGTTCATAAGGTATAACAAAATATTTACGTTATAAATTTTTTTGTACTAAAATTGAAAATGTATTCATTAATTAAACATTTTTAATTAAAAAAAGAATCATTTTTTAATTTAATGTATAATGCTATGTTGATTTTTAAAAGATTACATATTTAAGTGTGACAAAATAAAAAAGCCAGTTAACGTAATATAGTATTTCAATTTTAGAAAACAGCAACATAATTCTAATTAATAATAATAATAATAAGTTTATTCATTTCAGCTTAGCCAAGAAGGGGACTTGGTTACAATAATTCTACTACATTCACTCATCCATTCCCTCATTTACACCTTATAATTCTAATTAATAATTAATATGACTTCCTTTAGCCTCAATAATTTTTTTAAGTCTCCTTGATATACTTTCAATTAAATTTTTCAAATGTTGTGAATCCAGATTCTCCCATGCCTGCAGTTGTAATGCTTAAAAATAGGAATTCTTGTTAGTTATTCCGCATTTGTCAACCCTATTATCCAGAATTGCCCACAGATTTTTAATAGGGTTTAAATCTGGATACTGCAAAGGCCATTCGAGCTGTTTGATGCGATAGGAACGAAAAAAAGCTTGACTTTTCCTTGCTGTGTGTTTCGGATCATTATCTTGTTGAAAAATAAAATTATTTTCTAATCCGATTTTCAGCAAAGACTCTTTCAAATTTTCATTAATTACATCAATATAAACATCTGCCGTCATAATCCCATCAATTTTGACGAGATTTCCTACTGCTGCTCATGAGAAACATCCCCAGACCATAATATTTCCTCCACCATGTTTTACAGTTTTCTGAATATATCGATCTTGAAGCTCTTCTCCATGTTTTTTCCAGACTCTAATCCGTTTCCAAATAACTCGAATTTACTTTCATTTGTCCATAGAACCTTTTTCCGTAAGTCTAATGATATATTTGTGTACTTTCGAGCAAATTGCAAACGTTTTTTTTTATTAATAGCGCTGATGAAAGATCGTTTACGTGCGAACCGGCTGTGTAAATTTGCTTCACGAAGTTTGTGACGTACCGTGCAGTCAGAAGCATGAAGATTCATGTTTTTCTGAATTTTTCTAACAGTAATCTTTGAATTCTTCTAAACTTCTCGGACTGTTTTCGTTATATCCTAGTGTTTGGACGTTGCTCGTTTTTGGCCTCTTCCGCTTCTATCTGCCACCGATCCAATTGACTGGAACTTCCTACTGATTTGTTCTACTGCTCCTCTACTTATTCCGTAGTTTTTAGTAATGTTCCGTTAAGAAAAATCTTTTTTAATGTCCCGCACAATTAGGTTTCGGACCTGTATCGAAATTGATTTTCCTTCTATTTTTAATGTAATAAATTCACGAACTTCGGACAGTAACCGAAACAAGCTGATGTCAGAAACAAATGAATCCAATGACGTGAACTGAGCGTAATAACGCAAACATGACCAACTTCAAAACAACCAATATAATCACAAAGTACTGTACATATTGACACAAGACGTTAGTGGCTTTTTTATTTTGTCAATTTAAGAAATAGCAATATTTAAGAAATATAAATATATTTGGAAGATAAAAAATAATTTATGCAACTTTTTAGATAAAACCTCGAAATAAATTATAAATGCTTCATATTTCATCAATAAAAGCAGCATTGTTTTAATATTTTTATTATTTTATAAAACGAAACAGGATAACTGAGGAGGTGGCTTTTTATTTTTGCCGGTCACTATATAGCGTTTTAATTGTGATATTCGTAATCGGGAAAGTCGCCTGAAGGCTCGTACAGAGCGATTTTTTTGGAAAAAAAGTAAAATAAAAATTCTCATTCTAATCTCACACGATGTGTACTATATACATATAGTGCATTTATTGAGGTGCATATAATTTCCCCAGCAAACGAGAATGGATTGAAATGGATTCAGATTTTCAGAAATACGGATTCATGAATGTTAAAATGAATCTTTTTCAATCCTGAATGCATTTTTATTCATTTATAGGAATGGCATGGAGTATATTTCTATGCCTTTCAATCTAAAAATAATATTATAGTATTTTGTGTGCATCGTGAATACTGCTTAGTTTAAAATTCTGAATAGGAAATGCGGTTTTTTAATCCAATTGAATAAAAAAAAGTTTTTCTTTTAAAATGAGCCATGAATACTATTCAATTCAAAATTGTGAGTAGAAAATCCATTATTTCATTTAAAAATCAATACAATCAAATAATGCCTATTCGAGCCAACATAGGATAATGAATGAGACTCTACATCTGCATAAACAACTTAATAACGTTTCGATGATCATTGTAACAGGAAGTACGATAACATTGCCGTTACATTACTACTCTTAAATGACTTCTTGTTAATGTTTCACATGCGAGCATTGATAAGAATCGAAACGTTTGCAATTATAATTATGTTAATTTAAATAAATCAATCTTCACATTGTCATCCTATGTTGGCTCGAATAGGCATTATTTGATTGTATTGATTTATCTCAATCGAGCTTTATACTTAATTTATTAATTCAATTAATTATATTGTTTATTTAAAATGCATCGCGAATGCTATTTTATTCAGAAATACGAATAAGAAATTTTTCGTTTTAATTTAACTAAATTAAGAAAAATTGCACCGTAAAAATATATCATAAATTCTATTTTATTTAATAGTTACAAGAAACATAAAAAGAACTACATAAAAAGAACTAAATATGTACAATAAATGTTACTTAAATATAAATTCCTTATTTTTAATTAATAAATTAATTGCTTTTATATATATTTTATATTAATGCGTTCTTTGATTATATAGTTAGTGTATATTTTTTGTATAAAAGTTTTAAAATAATAACTATAGAATTTCATATAATTACTACTTTTTAATTTATTTAAACTTTTACATGTATAAAAATTTTTGATATGGAATCCAATCCATTTTTATGGATTTAGAATATGGATTCAGATGGATTGAAAATTTCCAATCCATTTCAATCCATTTTTGTTTGCTGGGTTATTAAATTTATTATAACTTGTCAAAAATCAATTTGCAAAATCCGGCTCTGTACGTGTTTTCGCAGCTTAATTCATAAAAAAAGAAGGCAAAAAGGTCTTAATACCATATACTTCTAGAGGTACAATCAATACGATGTTACAATTACTTTAAAGCGATCTTAAAATAAGAACGGATTACCGCTCTAAGGCCGGTAGTCATAGTCAGATCTTATATTCAAGACCGTCTTAAGTACGGTCTTAAGAAGTCATGAACCAATCAGAGGGCTGCATTAGCGTCTTAAGGCATTATTTAAGACGATCTTGAAATAAGAATCGACTATGAATACCGGCCTAAGATATCTTATGTCTCAATTTTGAACTTTTTAACATATAAGTGCTGTCTGAGTTAAATCTATCTTCTGTGCATTTTTCTTTATTACTATGTGATAAATTATTATAATTGATTAACATGTAAAATATTAATTAATTAGTATTAAATGAAAAAAATATGATTTATATATAATTGTTAATGCTTTTCAACATACTTTTCAATCGACAAGTTCCTTAGTGAACAGGATGTTTGCCAGTTTGCTTTGTGCATAATATTTTAATAGTGAATAAGATCTCTCTCTATTAATATCCTCAAAATCTATGTCAGCAACTATAACAGAACATTTTGTTAAAATTGAATTTTAAACAAGAATTTTAATCTCAGAAAATATTTTAGTTTATTTTTAAACCGCTAAAACATTACTTTACATACAAATATGTATAAATGACGAGACATTGATTATTCTGCAGATGGGAGAAGATAATTGCATTTTTGGCAGTAATAAAAGTGTCAAAAGGAAATGGCCAAGATAGTTGACTTGTAGTGTTTTTTCATTTCCATCTTCCGTCTTCTCATATGAAGGCATAATCACACCGGCATTATTTATAAGTATGTGAATAGCTGCTTCGTTTGTCAGCAAGTTTTTAGCGCAATTTCTCACGCTCTTAAAACTACTTAGGTCCAGAAAATAAATATCAAGCTCACCTACATTATTTTTATATTCATTCCTTTTTATTCTAAAAATAACCATAGATTTTATAAATGACATCATTATCTTCTTCAACTTGCCAAAATTTAATTTTAAAAAATACAGTTTTAAATGAAAAAAGAATAAAATTAAAGTAAATACCCGGTAAAAAATGTTCCATGCATGAATATATATAAATATGTATAAACATACATAAACACGCAAAAATATTCATAAATATGTATAATATATATATGAAATATGTCTATACATGTTTATGCATCCTTTTTTCTTTTATAAAATTACTTTTTAGTGTAATATAGAAATAATAATAGTAATGTAAAAACATTAAAAATAATTATAAAGGTAATTTTCGCACTGTTTGTTAAAAAAAAAAATCAAGTTTAAAGAAATGTAAAAAAATTATTTATATATAATTATACAAATTATACATAATTATGTATAAGTAATTTTTTTATATTTTTCCAAACTTGTTTTTTTCTAAAACAAACAATGCGAAAATTATCCCTTTAATTATTTTTATCTGTTTTCACATATTACTATTATTATTTATAATACACTAAAAAGTAATTTTACTATAGAAAGAAGGATGTATGGACATATTTCATATATAATTAAACATGTTTATAAATATTTATGCGTGTTTATGTATGTTTATACATATTTATATATATTCATGCACGAAAAATTTTGGCGAATCTGACATGATGAACAAATATCTAGATGCGATGTGTTTGATCGAAGAAAAATTAATTTCGAGCGAGAAAATATCAATAACGCCAAATGTGCAAATAGTGAAATGAATCACATCGCTGAAGATGACTCAAATGGAGTCGAAACGTCCGATTTTGTTTTAATCCGGTGTGAGGAATTCAGAAATACACATATAATTGTTAAATAATAGCACATGAATTGCCGTGTGATTCCCCTACAGCACAAAAGTTGCAACAATACTGCTGTAATATTGCATGTTGCAATAATATGTAGCGTTATTACAGCTATATTCCTGCAAGTTTCGTGCTGTACGGGTTACTTATATGTATATACTCTCAAATATCTGTTATTTAAATATTAATTTGTAATTACTTCTTACTACATATATAAGATTATATATTTACCTTGACGGTGGATTATTTTTTATATCTTCAATTGCTTCATTTGCTAGTTCCATATTTACATCAGCCATAATTACTCTAGCGCCTGAAACAATTATATACACGTAATATTTAATTACATAAATTTGGTATTTGATCTTTTGATCAATAACACATTTAGATTTCATATAAGCTATATAACATACATTTACTTAAATTTCAAAATTTAGAATATCTTAAATTATCATTTCATTAAAATCACCTTTTGCGTATAAATTCCTGGCAGTCTCCTTGCCGATACCACTACATGCCCCTGTTATTACAACAGTTTTGCCGTCAAGACGTACTTTGCTCGTACACATTTTACTGAAATACCGCATTTTATGATGCTTCTCTAACAACCAATATGCGATTGCTTATTTCTAGTGTAAGTTCACTATCGATTTCACTAAAAATGTTGTATTTTATTTTACGTGAGGTAAGATAAACTGATTCTATCATTTATATATGTGTACATGTATATGCAGGGAGAGAGAGAGTGAGGGGAAGAAGAGGGGGAGGGAAGGGAGGAGGGGGAAGGAAAGAGAGAGAGGGAGAAGGTAAGGGAGATTTAGCGTAGCAAGACTGTAGACCTGTTCTTTTTAGCTGAACTTTTGTATCGGTTCATCTTTCTTCCTTTTCTTTCGTTTTGGAGAGAAAAGGAAGAAAGATGAACCGGAGCAAAAGTTCAGCTAAAAAGAACATGCCTAATGAGGGATAAGGAAGAGAAAAGTGTGTAAATTAGACAGGGGAGTCTGTGGGAAAGAGACTTTAAAATATAATAGTAATAAGGCTCAATAAATTAAAAAAAAATGAAAGAAAAAGAGCTATGAGCCTAAGAGTTAGTCGTTAGAAATAGAAATTTTAAAAAATCACAGGATAAATATGTCATTTAATCAGAATATAAAACTTTAATTTGCCGGCACTAAACAATATAACACAAACAAACGTTTCGATCCCTGTTGGATCATTATCGATGTTAAATACACAAAAATAGAACGGTGAAAATATTACAAAGTTAAAATATATAAAAATTACAATTCGCTCTCAATCGCAAGCAAAAATATAATAAAACTCACAGTAGTTAATATAATAAAATTCGCTCAGTATGAGTTGAAAGTTATGTGAACGTTGTAATAGGTAACAATATGTGTGCTTCCGGTTATCGGTTGTAAATTAAAATAATTCGTATCTGTTAAAAAGTACATAAATATTTTAAACATATAATATTGAGTATATCAAATAAAACGCAAAGTATAAAAATATAATATATGAGGCAAAGAATAAAATTAAAAATTAACCATAAAAAAGTATTCTAAGATTTAACACGTAGCAAACAAATTATTCAGTCGTAATAATAAAAAATTATATGATATCTAGTTACTAAGTAAGTTCAAAATCTGTTTGTCAATAAAATTAGGAGAAGGAAAATTTTAATGGAATCTATTAAGAATTGAAATAGAATTGTTTCTAACAAAGTTGATAATATTTTTAGGACGACCAATAATATTACTTTCAATTTGTTTGATAAATTCGATTAAAGTATTTTCTTTGTTATTTTTATTAATAGGAAGTCCAAATTTCTCACCAAGCTGTAATAAATATTGAACTTCTAAGGGAATGTCAAAGAGACTTTACTTTTTTCAGAATTGATAAAGATATAATCTTTTAAACATATGTTTTAAACTGTTCAAAACATGCTTAACTAATTTTTAACATATTTTAAGCATGTTTTTTATGGTATTGTTTAAAGCATGCATGAAGCATTAAAAACATGTTTAAAAAAAAAACACAATGTCTTTTTCTTTTTTGTAGTTCTTTCTTTCCCTCCCTTTTTACTTATTTCTGGTGCATTATAGTGGTTCGAATTGATCAGTAAATAGCGCAAAAATTTTTATGTCATTTTAAACTTTTTTTTGTCATTTAAGGAAATCTTAAAGAATACATTATTGAAGATTAAATGTGCTACTAACTGCTACTCGAGCTTTAAATTATTAACAAAAATAATGCATGTATGTCCACTTCAATCCATTTTCGTTTATATTATAGAATTTGCACGTCTGTCGATAAATATTTTCCATGTAATATGAAGCAGAATTATGCGGTATAATTCTGCCTCATGCTACGCGGAAGATGTTAATCGTGAGACGTGCAAATCCTAGTAATCGAGGAATAAAATAGATTCAGATGGATTCAGATGTTCAAAAGTACGCGTTCGCCAATAATGAAATTAATTATTTTCAATTCTAATGCGTTTTTATTCATTTGTAGGAATTGCATGAGGCATATTTCCATGTTTTCCAATTTAAAAAAAAATGCAGTTCTTTATATTGGGAAATTCGATATATCGTTACGCTACCTGGCGGGAGATATCGGAATTAGTGCGGGTAGATAACTTCGTATTTATATGGCAATCAGCTAAATTTTAGTACAAATTAGTTAAAAAAAAATGGAACTTTCACCACGAACAAATAAAAGTAAAGTTTTTTGTTGTGTCTTTGGCTGCACCAGTCAAGCTCGTAAGAATAACACTGTTAGATTTTTCATTTTCCTCAAGAGGGCAAATCTCGTTAGTTTTACTATAGTAGGTGTCGAACTAGTAAAAACACAAATTTCTCCTATAGATATTTTTATTTTTATTTATTTACTACAGCTTGTATTTACGTGTAACAACTGTATAGTATAAGAACTTGTTGGTTAGGTTACCTACTCGCAGTAGTTCTGACCGTTGGCGCTAGATGAAAGCTCCGCCCCCATTGAATTTCCCAATAAGGTGAGGAAAAAATACCAGGACAACTAAATAATTTCTGAACGGTTCGAGATAGAGGATTAAAGTTTATAGGGATGCACATACACACATACACACACACCACATTTCTTCCCACATGCACATTTATCCACACGTGCCCGCACAAAGTCTTTCTCACGTCTTCGCCGTGAGCCCTCCGCTACACTGCGAAATTTCAATGTTTAACTCATCATAACTCTGCGAAAAAAAAATCGCAGAGACCTGGGAACACCACGCGTTGTTCTCGTCTTAGAAAGCCCTTTCAAACGAGCCCACACTTGACCCCACGTGCAATTTAAGATTTATCCGCCCCCGGAAGTGTTAAAATGGGCGTTTTTTCTATTAAATGATAGATTTTATGATGCCATTTGAATCCGTATAAACTTCAAACCTTTATCTCGAACCGTTCAGAAATTATTTAGATGTCCCGGTATTTTTTCTTCACCCTGTATATTACGTGTATACCGTAAATATTACACAATTCAAAATTATGAATAGAAGACGCAGTTACAATCCAATTGATTCTAACAGAAAGTTTTTTCATTCAATTGTAGAATCTAAAAAAAGTGAAAATAGACTATATGAATGCTATTAAAACATAAAAAATAATTAAAGGGATAACTTTCGCATTGTTTGTTTTAGAAAAAATCAAGTTTAGAAAAATACAAAAAAAATTGCTCATACATAATTATGCATAATTTTATATATAATTATACATAAATAACTTTTTTACATTTCTTCAAACTTGATTTTTTCTAAAACAAATAGTGCGAAAATTATCTTTTTAATTATTTTTAATGTTTTCACATTACTATTATTATTTCTATTATATTCAAAAGTAATTTTACAAAAAAAAGGATGTATATATACACACACATATGTATGGACATATTTCATATATATAATTATACATGGTTATGAATATTTATGTGTATTCATGTATGTTTATACATATTCATACATATTCATGTATAAAAAATTTTTTACCGAGTGGAAATTTTTAATAGATCCGTACAGAAAAAAACCAATTTATAATACTTATTTTAGCAATAAAATTGGATTAATCGATATTATAGCTGATTGACAATTTAAATCTATTCGAATCCATCTGAAGCCATAAAAAATAAATTTATTTGAATAAAAACAATTATACTGTATTCTCGCATATGAATGAATGATTCAATTTTATCACGTTCAATTCATTTTTATCCATATACATGGACTAAGAATTTGGATTTAAATGAATTAAAATTTTAATCCCTTTTCGCAGATACTGGGAAGTTGCGCCTAAGCGCAACATAATGAGATCTTTTATCTGTATGTTCTAATTAATGGAAAGATTCTTTAATCCAGTTCCTAAAGGGTTTTAAGGAAGTAAATGAGATTTATTTTAATAGTGTACAATTATTTCTTTTAATTTTATGTACAAATTAATTTAGGAGTCTGTGTTCACCATGTATAAGAGGTCAGACTAAGAAATTTTTTATGTAGGTGTCATTTGAATGATATCTTTTTTCCTCTAAAATCGTTGCATTAAAGGTGCCTCTATATATTCGCAAATCGCAAAACGTAGTTCTCAAATGTTGATGCAGAATGATAATTACGCCAAGATACACACAGATAAAAACTAATCGCACGCAAAGAAAAAAACAATGGAAATTTTCATTTTGCGTTTTCATTATATAATAAATCTTTCTAAAAACAAAAGACGTCAAGTGTGCATGTACCTCTCATAAAAAATTGTTACATAAACTAAAAGAAAAAATCGTTACATAAATAATATAATTCAAGTGATAATATTATTAATTTTTTATTATAAATTACCCCTCAGTAGCACGTATGCATATATTAAAAAAAAATGAAATAAAATCTTTAAGTTGCGCCAATTGCAAAAAGGATATATATTTTCTTGCAACATATAACATTTAATTAACGAGAAAAAGTAATACGTACCTTTATCTTTCTATTCAAGAGTCTTTTATATTTGCAATGGAATACAACATTTAATCTCAAAAAATTAAAGATGAAGCATCACAAAATGAGAAAATTTTATTAAAATAACAAAATTTTTATGTAAAAAAACTTGGCGCGCTGCTAGACCTCAAAATATGATAAGTAAATGTTACATAAAAGAAATAAACGATGTTTACTGTTTAATACTAGAAATTTAAAATATCTATTACGGTCGAAGCTGAATCTTCGTTGTTTAAATAATTCAATCTTGAATTACTAATATATACTATATATGTACTTGCATATATATCATATTGTAGTCTTTTTCAAACTGCGCGCCGAATTATTTTTCCGGACTAAATAAACGCAATTAAAACTACTCTAACAATCGCGAATTAAATTGACAAGCAATTTAATAATTTGATGCTATCATTAAGCACCATATATTATAAAGATGTTAATATGTTAAAAACTGTTAATAAATTTATTGCGAAAAATATTACCTCGACCGGGACTTGAACTCGGATCTCTTGTATTCCGTACGAGCGTCCTAAGTCATTAGACCGAGGTGGTTTAATTAGTATTTCACTTGTTGGAAGA